GATAATTTTCTCAAAGGTCTTCCCAAGGACCGAGGTAAGACTGACTGGCCTATAACAGCCGGGGTCCTCTTTTCTCCCCTTCTTGTAAATGGGGACTATATAGTGGGCATGTGTGGGAGAAAGAGTCTAACTGGGCATGTCTACACAAGACGCTTACTGCGCAGCAGTCTAATAACACTGCACAGTAGCTTATTAGCATATTTTTGACCAGCATGCTACTGCGCAGTTAGCATCACAAAAAAACTATGTGCCGGCACTACCGTGCAGTAACTGTAGTTACTGCACATTAAGTTAATACTTCATTAAGCAAGTACGAAACTAAATGCGCAGTAACTACTGCACATTAATAAAGGTGTAGACACATGCCCACTAATTCTAACACCCATTCAGCTTCTAAAACTGGTTATCGCTATAGTGTACACCCAGTGTGCGATGGTTTAAAATAGCCTGACCCATGTCTATGGAACTGGAAACAATCAGACTGTCTTCAACTACCTAAACCTGCTGGTCGCTGTGATTTAGGGCAGTTGAAAACATAAGGGTCAGATCCAACATAGAGTATTAGCCACCTAAGTGCAATCCTGTTCCATCCTGCTCAAGACCCTGAAAAATTGTTAATACAAAAAAGTGGATAGTCTCCTCCTCTTCACTGCCTTTTGTGACTTGATCTTAAGGTTCATCTCATGGCATGTTACAGAATTAGGTTCGTTGACATTATTTCAGGGGCTCGAGCAGGGTGGAATAACACATCTAACTCTACTTAGACACTTAGGAGGTCGAATAGAAACTGTACCAAAGTGAAGCAGTTTTAAAACTGTTTGGAAGGATTTCTCCACGTGGGATATTTGAATATGCTTCTGAAAATCTGAGATTGAACTTTTCATTACTGAATCTGCTCTTGGCAACTGATTTACAGTCGTACTTGATTCCCACAACGTATGCTGTGCTGGCCAATAGACTGTCAGTTAGACTATTTCCCCTACATGTATTCAAGTACATGTGCATGCCCAATTTTTACTGACCCCTTAAGAAGCTGAAGCCTCTTGTCCCTAACCCAGCACTCTTATCCATACTCGTGTCATGCTAGTCATCTTGTTCCTTGCTCAAAGGTGAATACAACAGTTGAAGTTCCTATGCTGTCAGTGGGCATTTTGCCCAAGCCAGGACTGCAGGAAACTGTCCTTTTGTGCTAGGATAAAAATACAGGTGGGTTTCCAAGGCATAGCCAAGTTTCTGTGATATCAGTGCAGTGGCAGGAGTTGTCTTTTGTTTCAAACTAGCTTGACAGAATTTGGACAGCCCCAGATGTGAGGTATGTTGAAGGTGCAAGCATTGTACATAGAACCAAGGTGGTTGATGGCCCTTCAGGAGAGCATGAGTTCAGCCCTGATGCCACTGATGAATCATGTGATCTTGGGCAAATCTCTTAGTAATTTCATTTCTCTTTTCTATAAGGTGAGGCTATAATACCCTTTCAGAGGGGAGATATAATGTCAATGAATGGTTGTAAAGGCCTTCAGAGATGACCAAAGGAAGACACTACAGGCAGGCAAAATAGTGTTATTACTATTAATTTTGTACTATTTTGGCTTCCTTTAGTCCTTATCATTCCTTTCAAAGTAAGTAGTTCTTTGGAGAGAGGTTAGTTGTCACCCCACCAAACTTGTCTCCATTGGGAAAGCTACATTTGAAGTTCTTCAGTAGGATCAGAGGGCTGAAAAGATGTGTTGAGGGTCATCTAATCTAACTCCCTACACAGATGCAAGACTTAGCTGTTAGCAATTTTGGGAGTGATTTCACTATACAGGAAATAACTGATCATGTGACAAAATGGCACTATATATACCCCTGAAATATATGTAGTGCTATTTTGTCAGGCAATCAGCTATTTCCTGTTTGAGTCTGAATTTGGAATAGTGTGGCACTATACATATACATAATACATAGTGCCAGACTATTTCAAGTTCACTATACACACACACACACACACACACACACACACACACACACACACTATATATATATGTGGGATATATATAGTGTAGCACTATATATTCCACATATATAGTGTCACACTATTTCAAATTTCTACTGGAGTTGTTAGAACAGTTTGGACCACTACCATGTATTTAAAAACTGCTTCTCTTTAGGGAGTCTACCTGTAGAAGCCAACATCAGAACACACCTGCAAACAGTGCCCACTAATAAATATGTATTGGGTTATGAATATTGATGCAGTATCTTGTGGGTCCTTTTAATAAAACAAACTAAAACTGGATCCTTCTTGCAAATCTAATTTTCGAGATGTTGGGGGGAAATGCTGTGCTATGCAAATTAAATGATCCCAGATTTACTTTCAGTGTGGAAGTGAAGATTTCCCTATACTGTATTTCTAGAACCATAATCACATGAAACATCTCAAATTAGCTTCCCCCCTGCCCTCCCTGTAATGTGAACTTAAACCTTTTTTTCCAGACTGCTTCACATTCCTAAAAATATATACCTTTCCTGGTTGTATTGAAAACTGCCTGTGCCGTATTCTGATCTAGCTATCCAGATGGCAAATAAATGGGTTGAGACAGCCTGCCTGGTGTCTTGAGGATGCTGTGATACCATATTTGGAGAGGCAGCCTTCTCTTGGGGCTAAGGGCATGACCTGGAGGCTTTCACTCTTTGACATCAACAGCTATTAGATAAGGGTATAACCGGGAAGCTTTCGCTTTGACTTTAGCAGATATTGGATAAGTCACTAAGGTCTGAGTTCTGATTCTGGCTCTGTTATGGGCTTGTTTTGTGACTATGAGCAAACCACTTAATTATTCTGTTCACAAACTGGTAGTTGCACTAACCTAACACACATGGCACTGTGAGGACACAAACTGAGTGTTTTGAAAAGTAAATATAATGATTAGGAGTTTAAGGATCCTCCTATTATTGTACTTGGCTCAAGACATCTGTGCACACAACTGAGAAAAAGGGTAGAAATTCCTTTTACGTTGCTTTAGGTGATTATAAAAAATCAATAATTTAACCGGACACTGAGCCAATAACTGTGATTAATGTGTGTCCAAGCAGCAACATTCTTTATTCCTGAGACATTTCAGCATGGAAAGACATAAATCATCTATGTAACTAGCACTAAGCCCCTTTATTAGCAGCCTGACTGCTGGAGGTTTAGTCATGGCTGGGTAACATTTTCATTGATTTCTAATTCAGACTGGCCATTAAAAATACCTTCTCATTTCGCTGCCTGCATTCAGTGTAGCAACCTTGGACCACAGTCTGCCAATACTGCTAATGACTGTGATAGCACTTTACAAGCTCACGGTGATGCACAGGCATTGACTGATAAAAAAGCATCTGCATTTCCCAGACTGGGCCAAATTCTGTCTTCAGTTACAGTTAGTGTGGCCTGATTAGTGCAGGTCCAAGGAGGTGATCCTCCCCCTCTTTGCGACACTGGTCAGGCCACAGATGGAGTACTGCGTCCAGGTCTGGGCACCGCACTTCAGGAGGGATGTGGACAACATGGAGAGGGTCCAGAGGAGGGTCACTCGCATGATCCGGAGACAGCAGGGCAGGCCCTACGAGGAGAGGCTACGGGACCTGAACCTGTTCAGCCTTCGCAAGAGAAGGCTGAGAGGGGATCTGGGGGCTGGCTATAAACTTGCCAAGGGGGACCAGCAGGCATTGGGAGAGTCCCTGTTTCCCCGAGCACTACTGGGAGTAACAAGGAATAATGGCCATAAATTGACTGAGAGTAGATTCAGGCTAGATAGCAGGAGGCACCACTTCACAGTCAGGGCAGCTAGGAGCTGCAATCAACTTCCAAGGGAAGTGGTGCTCGCTCCTACTCTGGGGGTCTTCAAAAGGAGGCTAGATAGACACCTAGTCGGGGTCGTTTGACCCCAGCACTCTTTCCTGCCCTTGGCAGGAGGTCAGACTCGGCAGGTGTTCGGACTTGATGATCTGCTCAGGTCCCTTCCGACCCTACCAGCTATGAAACTACGATTGCAGTCACTTTAGCTAACTAGCAGTCAGCAAAGTTTGCACCTGTATAACAGAGGGGAGAATTTCTTCCATATTGCACACACAGCTGATGCCCAAGATATGGGCTCAAGGCTTCATCTAATGCCTACTGCAATCAATGGAAACACTTGTTAACTTTAGTGGGTCTTGGATTGGGTTGTCAGTCTGAATTGTTTCAGCCTGAACTGGTCTAGAAACTTAGTGGAAAGCTCCACCTTGGTCAAGACTGAAACAGCTCTAACAGCCATCTGCCTACTGGTCAATGGTACACCAGCACCATTTTGAAATGTCCCTGAATCTGTTCCTTCTGGAAGAGGTGTCAGGAATTGGGTAGTGCCTGTCCTGTGGGTGGCACAGGTGAGCTGCGTTAGAAGGGCACCAGTATAAACATGGAGCCAGATGGCTGCAGTTCAGAGCACAAGCCCCCATGGCTAGTGTGGGCATATTTTACTATCTCAGCTTAGACCAGTGCAGTCACCCAGGTTTATTCAGGAATGGGCCAGGTTAGCACAAAGCCAATAATACAAGAGGGGTATTGAGTAGCAAGTCAAGTTTGTATTCCTTGGGGGGAAAACGTTCCATTGGTGTTTTAGTTTAAATCGATACGCTGACATAATGGCTCTCCTACAGCGATTAGCTACTTCATTTATCTGGGATCCAAACGTGATTAAACACCATCTGTTTATGGAATTGCCATAGCATCTGCAGGCTGTAGAATTATCCTAAATTCCATCTAACAGAGCTCAGCGCAACTCAGAAACACACAATAAGATAGGGCCAGTTTGGCTTCTAACACCACTGTTACTAGAGTGTGCTGTACAAACCTCTTTTCTACTAATTTCTGGAAGATGCATGGCTTTGGGATGGGAGGACAGGGTGGGAGGAGAGAGTAAAATAAACTCCAGCACCTAGGTCTCCACTGATCTTTATTCTTTGTCTTCACCATATAGATTTTAAATGGCCATTTTAAGTGGTTGAGGTAGACGTGGACGCTGAGTATGAAATGCCATGTGAGGCAAACTGCGAAACAAAAGGCTTAGTGTTCTCTGATGATGAGGAGAACGATTTATGGGATTGCACATTCAAGATTAAAAGGCCCAAAAGGAAGGATCAACCTCTTGAGGTACTTCCAAAAGATGCTGCACCTTGAAGGTTGCCTCAATTTCCAGGTCATTTGTCTTTGAAATGGACACACTGAGAGAGCAGCAGGGTGGGCTTAGCATGGATAGTCTCTTCTTTCTACAGATGTGGAGCCTCCCGTCAGTGTTGATATTCTACATATGCAGGGAGAAAAAATCACCAGGGTTTTGTAGAGGGGCCAAAGCTGCAAAATTTGCATCTAGCTCTACAAGCGGTGGGGCATTTAGGTGTGGGGTTTTGGATGCAGAACTCTATTTCATGTTTCATTTACTGAGGGGAAAATAATTACTTCTATATCAGAGGGGAAGGCATGGACGGATATAAGGTTTTGAAATGGGGGATGCAGATGGTATGGCACATCACATATAGCACAACACACAGTTTTTCTCCAGTTAAAAAGAAACTGGAAGCTTTATTAATAAACCAGGGACTTAGAGCGATATTATTCAGTTTAAGATTGAAGCAAAATACCCCAAGCATTATTGGAATTTGCCTTAATTTGCTATATCATATTTTACCATATTTACTCAAATGAAACAACCCTGACTATAAGACAGCCCCCCAGTAATTGGATTCTATATGTGAAAAATTGATAAATTTACTAGAATTTTCCAGGTATAGAATGGAAGTATTGGAGGGCTGTCTTGAATCCCAACCCCTGTCGCTACAGCAGGGAAAGTGGTGACTTGGGGAGGGGGGAGGTGGTCAGGTGGCCCCCTTGCCCTCTGACCCACCCATTTCTTCCGCTGCAGCCTTTCTGCCCCACCTCCGAACCCTTCCACCCCCAGCTACCCACAGCCTCTGCGCCTCCCCCCGCCTTGCCCCTTACTCTTAGCCCTTGCCTGGCCATGCAACTGTGATGGCACTGCTGACTCCCTAGGCAGAAAAGGAGTTTCCATGGGGAGAGATTATTCTGTATGGCCTTGTAGTTAAGGCACAGTTGTGGGAGCTAGGTGTCTTGGACCCCAGTCCCAGCCCTGCCATAGCCACCCTCTTCTTTGGACACGTCATTTCTCTGATCCCATGAGCTCATCTAAACAAAACATCTCTGTATTAAAGCTTATTCATCTGTAGAAATGGGACAATAATTCTTCCCTTCCTTACAGGAAGCCAGATCATGGGAGGTTTGTGTAAAGATCTTGGGCAGGAAGGTGTTATTGAAATTACACATTCAAATGTTAGCTATTCATAATAAAAGGTCGTATTCTTTGCCCCACTGGCAATTAGGTTTCTGTTGTGGATGAAAGTGAGGCGTTGAATGTTGGTCCTGTGAGGCAGGGGGACAGTGGACTGGATTCATAGATGAGTGGTGAGTGACTGGTCTGATATCTTCCTAGCTTAGGGTTGTCTCCATCCATAGATGGACTGGATGAGTGACTGGTCTGATATCTTTCTAGCTTAGGGTTGTCTCAGTGTCCCAGGACACAAGCAGTGTGGTGAGGGACAGGGTTTGGTCTGGCCTGGCTCCAGTGAGAGTTATCACAGGTATGCATTTTAAAGAGGGTGGCCCACCTGTTGCTGGTGGTCAGAGGCACTAAGTAGGTGGGGGCCCTCCTTAGTAAGAGGGCTGTCACCTGAAATGCATAAAACTTTCCGCATTTCTATTGTATTAGGCCTTGCCCGGCAAAAATAAAAGTCGGTGCTTATGCCAGTGGTGGGCAAATATCCACTGGACCCTGGAAACCATGCAACTCCTTCGACTTGGGATGCCATGCTCTGTTTCAGTCTAAACCCGAGGGGTTAACAGCAAAGGATGCCTCCCTGGGATTGTAGTGCTTTATTAAATCAAGGAAAAAGAAACCAACCCCCCTTTTTGAAAGCCAGACCTTCTCTGTCCCTGAGCTTCTCTGCCCCAGTTAAAAAGGCCACATATTTCTCACTTCCCTCCTCTGGGTATCTGATGCCTTTGAAACCCAGAGTGGCTGTGAGAAGCAGTTGGCACTACAGAAGGAGCAGCTGAGGGGAGACTTGAGATGCAACACTTTGAAGTGTCAGCGCTGCTGTGTTAACTCACAATTCCTTGGCTGGAAAGGTTTAAACAGCTAACATAGCAGAAGTGGGGATGTCTCTGCGGATTTGGAAATGTGTCTGATCTAGATTGGTTGGATGTAATTGTCATCTAATGGACAAGAGGAGTTATCTACTAGATTGTCATCAAGTAAAAAGGATAGTTCAATAAAGAGGGTGTTTACCTAGGATTTGGAAGACACAAATTTAGTTCCAACACAACTTTGGGCAAGTGATTTTGAATTAATTGCAAGGGAATTCAGTGACTAATTTGTGTGTGTAGATCCTCAGACTCTTCTCTCAGCTGCCACCTAACTCTGGAGTGGGGAACTCAGTTCCTCAGTGTCTTTGCCTGGACACTGCCTAGCTCACACCTAAGCCCCTTTGAGGTTTACAGACTAGGTGTTGTCCTACCTGTCTGGCCTGAAGCATCAACCCAGTAGAGATCCTACGAGCATGCCTACCAAAGCAGGCCTGACACAAAAGACAGTTTCTTGTGATACCAACCATTGTGCCCAGGGATTGGGGCACTCACCTGGTATGGGAGAGAAGTCAGGGTTAAGTCTCTGCTCTGATTAATATTTATGTATCCAAAACCCCACATGGCAGATCTGCCCCTGTATGGAGAGTTTGCTGCACACAGTAGCTCAGGCCATTCCAACACTTTCTATTTTTACAGATTCTTGGAGCGGTTCCCTTCGTGAGTCCTACAAATCACAATCAGGTCTGGCTGTAGAGCTGGCTGGTGAACAGGCACGATTCACCGATCAGCAGCGCATAGCTGTTTGGCATCTAGCTCCCATGCTTTTGGGGCCTCTCAGCCTGTTTACCATCTGGGAACGGGGTTTGCCAGACCTCAAGAGTAAAGTGATTTTGCTGGGCTAATCTGACACGTGCCACTTAGGTGTCTGACTAGCTCTGTCCGGCTGAGCCACCTGCGAGTCACACTGTGAGCTGTCTGCTTCTTGGTCACTTATTATTGCCTGAGGACTCTGTTGTGAAGGCATCTGAATCGGGTGGAATTGCAGCAATGCTCTTTCCAAATTGTTTCAGAAGTAGCGTTTCCAGGCTTTGCCCAGGCGAGGAAGCTGCACGGGCCACTCGGTAGGGGCTCACAGGCTTCATTCGGCTGGCACCAAATGAACAAGAATCCACTTTTCAAGAAGAGGCTGTCTGTGGGGACCACAGGTCCCGGACTGGCCAAGCTGAATGGTTTTTAGGCGTGGTGGGGTCCCTTGGGGCATTCGACATTTCAGAGTCGGGTGAGGAGTGCAAAGCTGGCTTTCTGCCACCATTTTGCTTTCTTGTTCCTCAGGGGCATAGTTTAGAGCAGCCTTAGGGCTGCTGTGTATTGCATCCGCTTGTAATGTCTCCTGACAGGCCATTATGTTAGTAGGGTTGGTTGGAGTGCCGTGCTGTCCAGCAGTGCCTCTTCCTGGACGTGGCCGTCTAGGCCAGCGGCACCAGCAGGGTGGTGAAGAACTGGCTGAAATGCTTGAAGCCACACAAGGTGTTTCTCATGCTGGGAATTCCCAGATGTTTACTTATGGGAGCTTTAAATGGGGATCTGGAGGACTAGGATCTGTTCTTTTGTCTGGTCCTTCATTTCTAAAACAGGAATAATACCTACTGTCCAGGGGCATCATGGGGATGAGTGAGTTCATATGTGGGCAGTGTTCTAGAGAGGCAAAGAATAACACATTTCCTCTGTTTCAGTGAAACTTCTGCTTTCCCACAGGCACCGCCTAGGATCCTTAGACCTCGCTTCAGGAAGAAAAGTACCTCGTCCTCTACCACTGAAACAATGTGAGTGCGATGAGCCAATAGCACCAAGATCCACAGAATGTCTCTCTTCTGCCTTAAAGAGCTACTCGTTAATACCGTGGAAAACAGCAGCGAGATGGGTGTGCTTTGCCGTGCAGCGCTGTAGACATGGCCTTTCTCCCTTCTCTTTTCTTTCCCTTAAGTCACATGCTGCTTGCATTTACCTGCCTCATGGTTAGAACAATTAGGCAGCCACTGTGTAGGTCCCTCTGTTTCATTTGCAGAACATGAAACTACTTAAGCTAACTCTGTAAGGCCGTACATTTATCCTTCTGAGTTGTGTTTGCATAGTTTTAGCTCTGGGAATGCAAAGGAAAAAAATACTCAATTGCACTTGATGCTATTATGGCTAATGTATTTATTTATGGCTTTACCATTCATGAGTTGGACTTGCAAGAGCCACAGCGTTTTCTTTCTTCCCTTCCTCCACAAGACTGCGAACGATGTCAGAAATGCTGAATTCTTTTGACTGTACAGAATGTCCGAGACTCATTAGCAAAGCCTGAGCTGCAACTCCATTTCTTTTCTAGCAAGTAAATTACGTGCGCTCCAGTCAAGTCATTGTGCTAATGCCGTAGAGACACAAGGACTTAGAGATGATGAAGAGATGCATGCAAGCAAATGGAACTGATTTCACAAGCCAGAGACAGAGGCGTCTTCTTTGTGATAAATCTGAGCCAGAAGAAAAGAAAGGGATATCTTGCGTGGAAACTGAAGGAGGCTAAAATTCTGTTGTAGAGCTCTTGGCAAATCTTTGGCTAGCAGTTGTACGATCCCTGCAAGCTGTGTTTGTTATAACTGCTGCAGTGTAAACCAGAATTGCTTTAGTGATGGATTTTCATAGGGGCAAAATTCACCCCTCTCGCCAGCATGCCTGACCTCAGTTCTGGTGTTCTGCTTTGCCAACCTGAATGTGGGGGTTTCCATCCCTAGGCAGAGCAGAGCCTTGGATCTGAGCTTCCCTGCGTGAGTTGGGGAAGATTTTGCCTTTTGCATGGATTCTGGTTTGAAGTGCAAGAGTCTGTAGTATCCGCATTTAAATGATAAATATATAAGAAGGGGAAAACATTGTAGGATTTGTGTATTTGTGCTTAAAGTGGGTGTCTCCTGTGAGTGTAAAGCATGTGAAATTCACCAATAAGTCAATTATGTGACTTTTGTGTTTGCTCTTGGACTAGACTAGAAAAACATTTAGTATCATGTAGAACTCACCATCGATAATTGATCAGTGAACAAACTCAGTTAAGACTAGTATCATCGACCCTAGTTCAGGTTCAGAATTAGTTCAGGATGCCAATAACTGGTTGGTGTGAAGAGAGAGAGAAGTATATCTGAGGTGGCCTTTTGAAATTCTCTGTCAGACATGCATTCATGTTCTAGGCTTCTAACTCAGCTTAGGGTAATGCAAGAGGTTCCTTGAATATTTGGGAAATAAAGAATAAAAATGCCTGCACCCAAATGTGTACATCATACTGGCCAGGAAGTAGAAAGGACAAAAGGGCATTTTCTGTGACTGTCATCATAAGACCAGCTACCTGAAAAACATATTTTCCTTACCTGCACTGAGTTGTTCATGCTCTGTAAAGGATTTGTGCTCAAAAAAAGGCATTAAACATATATTTGAGAAAGGAGTCAGTCATGAGAACCTGCTGGGCAAGATGCTGTGAGGAGCTTGGCTTGCATATTTAATTTAAGCAGCTTTCATGGGCAATTAGATTTTTTTTTGGCCAGATTTAGAAAATAAGAGACAGTGCCTGCAATGTTAGCAGAAACAAGAGTTCCTGTTGCAAACTAGCTTCCATTTTTGCTACTATGCAAGAGGGTGCCATAAGATAAAAGGACAAGTTTGCACTCAATTATGCCAAAAAGAAAAGAATCAAGCCACACGATGCTGGACAGACTCTGCTCTCAGATAGGCTGTATTCATGCTCATTCTTGCTCCGATTATTACATGTGCGTCTGATCTGCTGTTTTACTGTAAACTTGACTGTTTAGATTTTCTTCTCTTAAGTGCTGAGGTGAAATTGTTGACAAGGGAGTTGCCTTATCTCTCGAAGACATTCACTGTATAAAAAAACCTTTTCATATCTCTGGCAAAAATGTGTTAATTTATCAAATCAAGCTGTATATTTGTGTATAGACAGGGAATGCGAATGCCCATACATGTATGCTTAGAGGTATAGTGTTCTGTACACAGAATAGACAGACCATTTGCCTCGAGTTGATCATGTTACCGACACAGGTTGTTTACAAGCTACACCTCTAAAATTGTCATTTTAATTTATGAGAGAGGAATACCAGAAACCGACTCTGTGGTCCAAAATGTTCTCTAAAGCTGTCTCCCCTCAGGAACAACCCTGAATCAGCAACTGAAACCACATGAGGTCTAGTGCTCCCCCCTACTGGTAGATAAGGGCAAATCATGGTTTTGCAGCCACTGAGCTAATCAGGGTGCTCAGACAAAAGTTAAGGAGAAAGTGTGATTCTTAATTAGCTCAGACTGTGGGATAGTGGGTTTAAGTAACAGCTTGTAGCTCCCTTTGGTTCCTATACAAGTCAGCATGACCACACTCAGTGGATCACTGGCTACTCCAAAAGGCATCCTAGGGCCCAGGGGAAAGAATCCAGTGTATAAGGGGTCTCAAGCAGATGTGCAGTCTAATCATGCAAGAAACAGAGAGGTGCCCTTAAAATCCTACGCAGGTGGCCTAGGGAATGTGACCCTCCTGGAAGGAATAGCTAGGCCCCTGAAAACAAACCCCTGGGCCAGGGGGGAAGGATGTGATTGCTAGCTGGAGCTTGGGCTGCTTTGAAGAGACTGAAGCTCTGACAAAAGGAACTGAAATCTCATGTCTAGTTTTCTGTACTGCATGGGTGGGTGAGTTGAGCCATCAGCTTACCCAGGGACACCTCACTTAGGAATGGGGTAACTATGAGCACAGCTCAGAGCAACCCCCTTGGTCTCCACTCATGAGTCAGCACCGATGCAGCTATAATGACTGCTGGTTGCCAGGATTATTCCCACCTCTGGGCAAGACCCCATTTATACCAATATAAACTGGGAGTAACCAAAGCCAAGAGTAACCTGAGTGCAAGTCTAATACACCAGAGCAGAGAATCAATCAGGCCATTTGTTTCTAATGACCAGGAAGGAATGAGCTTGCTGATGAAAAACAAGGGAAGAAAGCTAAATAGCAAGATGTGACTACCCCTAGCGTCTTATAAACAACCTGTTGTCTCTGACTATGCCCCGTGGAATAAGCGTGTTCTCATGCAGTAACAAACCCTTTATCTGTGCAGAAATGTTTGTTAATCAGTCTCCTTCTGCTGTTTATTCATTTCAGGTACCTGTCTGGCACCTAGCACAGTATTTGAGATTGTAAAGAACACTATGCGTACTCTTGAGGTTTGCATTTAAACAAATGGCTACTACTTAAGGATCATAAGTATGCACTTCATGTTGTTTCTTTTTGTGATCAATAAAAAATGATCTGTGATAGGATAGTTCATTTCACAATGCTTCACAAGGATGGATGTTACCACAGTATTCCAAAGTTGACGTTTTTGCTGGTTTTATTATATTGCTTGATATACATCTTGAATAAAGTCTTAATTTTTTCTTTACAAAAAAATTAAAGGAAGAAAGCATCTTCAGTCTGTTCAATGTATCTGGCAGGCCAGAATACCTTTTGTTACCTTGATTACTGTATTGTTGTCCTCATTCTGGCTCACTGTATATAGTTGTATTCACTAAGTGCTGCATGTCTTTCAGAACCCCTCTCTGTATTAATCGACTGGAAAAAAATACAGCTACTGAACATCACGTGTTACCAGTGAATTCATTGGATTGCTACAGCTTCATACTAAATCATGTCTTGTTAAACAAATGGCAACAGAGTCTACAGTAAAGAGTTAAGCGTTAGTTAACCATATGAAGCCACTTTTACAATATGACTGAAATTGATTCTTGCTACAGAGTGTTAAGTCTATTAAGTGTGCGTGCTTGGTGAAGCCAGAAACAACTAGCATCTTAAATTGCAAAAAATCAATCAATCACACACACACATGCTGCTTTATGTAAAAAACATGCTCAGAGGTACAGTAAAATATTATCATAAATATAAAATATAACTAGGGGTAAAATATAACCAGGCTTTAGGAAAGAACTGGTAAGTGAGGAATTACTTATTTATAAACTGAATTTTTGAGGTTGTGGATTAGGATTCAGTCTGCTTTATCATTTGAAAGCAATGGGAATTGGAACATTTCAGACTGGCAGTAAGGCAAGTTAAAATTATATGCCAAAGCCTTTGGAACGCCCTTTTCTTCAATGCTCTCCCAGAGAGATGCTGTTTCAGCCCTATCCTGTATCACGGGGCAATATCATGGAAAGAGCAACCTCTGATGGAGAAAAACACAACTCCATTTACTGAGAAAGCAGTAGGTTTTGAGACAGCAACAGTTATGTTTAAAATGGCTTTAAAGGCATTCCCATTTGATGCATTTTCCAGTACAATTTACCTGTTATTAGGTTTTTTCTTTAACCAGTGTTTGCATGCACATGGACATCCCAAATGCTCACAGCCTCTCCCCAAGATGATTCTGGATGAGCATTTCCCTTTCTTTCCCCCTGCTCCGATTCCCAGTGAAACACCACGACTGAGCATTTGAGTCAGAATCTTAAATACTGGTTTATTGTGGGGGTTTGGACCAAAATTTCCTACCAGCTGCCATGTTTGCAGGTATATTTGGGAAAGTGATAAGCCTTTCCAAGTTTGCCCACAGAAATGCCGAGAAGGATTCCAAACACATCTATTAAAGTACTTGCCAGAAGCAAAAAACAAGAGAGAGGCCTTCTATACTTCAAGGTTTGTACGATCGTGGTACTTCTGGTAGGGATCGTTGACATACCAATTTCTTCTCTTCCAGAAAGAAGTAACCATTTTATCGAGGAGTTTGCTTTGGGTTCTATTACAGAACACCTGTTCCCTCAGTCGCTTTTTCCTGGCAGCTGACTTTTTCCATAATTTCTTCTTATAGCCAGCCTGTTAGAAGACATAGTAAAGATTTTCAAATTACGTCACTACTGATAAATACCCAGTGACAATGGCAACCTGGTGCCACAACAATTCCCCCTGCTCTGAGCCATTTTTCATCTTCTACCCTGGGTGGTCTTCAACTTTTTTTCTCCCAGACTTGCTACTGGCTCCTCAAGGAAGGCACCCAGTGAAGGCAACAGTTATATAAACAGGACGTTACCCTTCTCCTTAACCAAAGGCCAGAGTGCAGTCGGAGAAACCTCGCGACAACAGCCTTGACGGATTTTCTCTTTCCTTTCCGCAGGCTATAATATGTCAGAGTCCTCACTGGCTGCTGAAGGAGACTTGGGAGCAAGGGTGTTAGCCTGGAATGGAAAAAATAAAAGCTTTTAACCAAAACGGAACACTCTCTCCATTTCCCAGAGCTCAGGATCTCATTAATGCCAGCCAAAACATTGAGAGAGGCTTTATAGGACTTCCCCTGGTTTCAGGAAGTTTTGGAGAAAATTGCTGTAATGTTTCAATATACTTTTGGGCTGGTGTCTCGCTATGGCACTGGAGGAATGAGACCAAGTCCTACTCTGGGCTTGTGCCAAAGGCTACCCACAGTCAACCCAGCCACAAACAGTACCAGACTGGGGAGTCAGAGGTGGCCAAATGCTGGCTGCATCACTGTGCGGTTGGCTAAGAAACTTCTGTGCCTTAACCACACTAGCCCAATGGCCTGTGAGGCCCAGACAGACCTTCCTTCCTTTGGATCAATATTTGCACACATGCTTTTGGGCAAATGCCTGGCTGAAATTAATTTCTACAACATCACTGTTCTGGGCAGGGCAGCTCGTAACATTTAAAAAAGAAAGCAGAGTAAGTCAGGGCTAGTAAGGCAAGAGTTGTTTCAGGGAAACATTTTGACTGAAATGAATAGCATTACTTTTTGAATCAAGTTTACTGCGGCAGTGAGCCGAGCTCTCAGGTATGGTTCACTGTGCAGCCTCGCTCAAGGACCCTGGTGTGGAAAACAGGGTTAAAAATTGCAATTGATCACTCTTGCAATTTGGAGCAAGAGAACTGCCCCAGCTAGCGTGGCGGGAGCCTCTTCCTTCCACAACAACGAAGGAAGACACGGCATCTGGGGAGGACTCGGGTTCAACTCCAACCCCCCTCTTCTAGCTCTGCTTTCATTAGCTTTTCCCCCTGAAATTTCTGCCCTAGCACTGGTTTCACTTCCCTTGGCAGATACTATAGCCATTAACAGCTCAATGGTGGTTTATTCCACACTGAAAGGATGAGCGCAGCATGGAGGACCTGAAAGAAAAGGTAACACAAGGTGCTCATGCTGCAGCAGGATCGCTGCAAGCAATCACCCGCGTTCCACACGTTTGATGCCTTTTCCTATGGCTTTATTTTTTTTTTTACACTCTATGAAAAACCATGTAACCTGCTCTATAAAACAGACCGTACCTGTTCACCAGGGAGGCGCGCGGCAGGTTACCCGCAGAGGGCAGGGCTTTTGCAGCGGAGCAAACCGCGGGTGCCTGCCCGTAGCCGAGCCGCCGGATGGACGGTCCGGGGACCAGACGGACGCCGCGGGAGCCGCTGTAGATCAGAGGGACGAGAGCTCTGAAGACCCCTGTGGGGAGAGCAGACAACACCGGGAATTTAATTACAGGACAGCGGCAGGTGTGCCGAAACAGCCTCTCGGGCCGTGGTGCTGTACGCAGCGACGTTTGGTTGCAGACCTGTTCGTGCCGGCTTGGACACTTTTCACAAACCCAGCAGTGGGCAAAGCCTCCCTGAAATCCAATGGGGGCGGGAAACAGCGCCGGATATTTCCCCTGCTCCGGGATATTTGGCTTTCCTCGGTCCCCTTCGTGGGGTTTCCGGGCGCACATTCCACTCACCGCTTCCCCAAATGACTTCCTGCCACCGGCCCCCGCCCCGGCTTGTACCTGCGCCACTCGCACGGCAGCGAGGCTCGAGCCGCGCGGGCTGGGGGCTTGTCACGGGCCCCGCGGCGGGGGGGGGGGGCCGGGGGGGGCC